GTTCCCGCTTTTATCCAAACTCTTGTGATATTGAGGCATAACGTCTTCTTTTTTAAGAGAAACAATAGTTTTTCGTGTGTTTGTGAGCAAAATTTTCAACATCTACAAAGTGAAAAGGTCTCAGGGCATATTGTATGTCGGTTTAATACATATTCCAGGGTTTTCTCACTTTTAAATGAAATTTCTTCAGAATATAAAGGTTGATGGCAATATGAATATTTATTTTAAACAAAAGTTGTTCACTTAGGAAAATTTCAATACTTCCAAACAGGCTCGGTTTATTACCGTTTCTTTTCGTATCTGTTAACAACCATTCATACTGATTTTTCACATTTATATACTGAAATACATCTTCCGAAAACAAAGATTCTCTCACTCTCTGTTTTGGTTTAGCTGTCTTAAAAAAAAAACATGTTTAAAGGGTAGGGAAAAAAATATCTTGTAAATTGTGTGCTTGTTTTCCCTGGATACAATTTCGAGGTGTCTTTCGGCCGGGGAGGTGCTGTCAGCTGAATATCAATTGATCCAGGTCTCCTCCTTGCTTCCCTACACAAATACCGGTTGAATGCGAATTGAAGCAATAAAACTTGTAACAATTCAGTTTGCACTCGTCCAATTTTTCCCTTGTCAACGGCCAGAGGCGGACAAATGGCCGTTTACACCCCGGTTTGGAAATTGAATAAAACTCGTTCCTTTTGCGACCCGTGATCGTGGGTATTATCGACTTTGTTTTTTAGATTCAGATACTCAAGGAAAATTTGCTGGAATGGGAGATTCTGTCCGCTTTTTTGCAAGAACAAAGGCGTAAAGCACAATTAAGTCTCCATTCGAAAAAGAAGCCATTTCTAAATGAAGACCGATCTTCCTCCATCCATCCAAGTAGGTAATTTATACTTGACCGGACTTGGAGTATTTCCATGATGGAGCACATTTTCCAATTGAGTATTGCTCATTTTCTCAATTGTTCAACATTTTTTTGAAACAGTGTTATAATGAATTTTTGTCGATCAAAACATATGCCATATATCCTTTTTTAACGCCAAATTTTATAATTTACCTTGAAGACACTGATCTAGCTAAAACCTTGTCTAATTAACCATTTACCCAAATTGAAAATTCCAAAATTAAACCTGTAAATAGTGAACTATTCTAAATAATTGCAATTCCCATAATCCACCAAAAATTCGAGTTACATGTGTTTTACTTAATGAAATAACGATAATGTAAATTAATTGGAATATTCTAAATACTTATTATTAAAGATCTTTTCAATGATTAATATCATATTATTAATCCAGAGCGGATGCCATTAGGTAGCTTTCTCTATAACGCCAATAACATCACACTCACAAATTGAAATCCAATTTGCGGGTTGTATATTAAAAATAATGCAAGTTTGGAAAAAGCAGAAAAACTATTTTTAATTTTTATAAAATAAAGAAAATTTATTCGAATATTTTCCATTACAATCTATACATCTTTGTCAACGATTAATAAGCGCTTTTATTACGCTGATATGAAAATCTTTATTTCGACTTAAAATAAAGTCTTGGAAGTCGTTTTTGGCTACACCGCATTCTCTCAAAATGTTATCCCTCAAGAAGTGATCAAAATGCCTAAGAAAGTGGAAATCTGTATAGCGTGGGGTGAAAATGGAGGGTGCGGTAAGGTTTCATATCCTAAGTCCTTAAGTTTCCGTAGGGTTGGCATTGCGACGTGTGGCCTGGAGTTTTCGAAGAAGAATCGACCCTTACGGTTTACCAATGCTGGACAAAGACGTTTCAGTTTCCCGTGCATTTTGTCAATTTCTTGGAAATATTTCTCTGCTGTGATAGATGCACCATAATTTAGGACATTATAGTGAACAATATTAGCTGTACACCCCCAAACAGTCACTACAACCTTTTCGGGTAGAGATTTGGTTTCGGGAAGTGTTTCCGCACTTCATCCTTATCCAACCACTATCTATACGTCCCCTGTTGCCGTACAGAATCCATTTCTCAAACGTGATGATTTGATTGAGAAATGGATCATTTTGGTGTCGCTACAGAAGAGATGTAAAAATTTCAAAGCGTCAATTCTTTGAGCTTCGGTCAGTTTGTGTAGTACCCACTTGTCAAGCTAATTTACTTTACCAATTTACTCCAGATGGCAAACGATTGTTGAGTGGTCAACACTAAGCTCTTCCGCAATTTCTTGTGTTGTTTTACCTGAATTTTTTTCAAAGTTTTGAGTTGGTCGTCGTCCACAACGGAAGATCTCTGCGACCTCCCCAAGACGAAATGTCTGAAACCATCGCTGCACCGTGCATTGCTAACGCTTCCCTGCCACCAAACTGTATTGACGTTACGCGCAGTTTGGGCCGCACTTCGCTGAACTTTAAATTTGCAGAATAAATTTGACGAAAATCTAGTTTGCCATGTTTAATTTCGCAGGTCCTCACTCTTATAAAATTCGATATAACCCAACACATTTTATATAAAAGAGAACAGTTAAATGTATTTATTATCAATAAATTAGATTTGAGGATTTAACTTTGTGACAATCACACGAATGTTGGGCTCGAATGCAGAGCCGCTGGATTCGAACCCGGGACCTTTACCTTACAGTGATGAACGCCGTGTCAACGCCTAAACCGTTGCGCCCCCGATTTATTTGTTATATATAATATGTTACAAGCATATTCTTAAAAAAAAGTATTAAATCTCAACCGATATCTAGTTCATAAATAAGCAAAATATGAAACTTAAATTATTCATAGAACTTTTCTAAAATTGATTTTTCAATACAGCCGAAACTTCAAATTCTGTATTACTTTGTTATTATGCCGAACTACTATAACGACTATATCTACCTCTTGGCCAAATACCCTAATAAGCAAAGTTTGTTGACAAAATTAGTATTAATTAAACTTAACTGATTAGTTTCCCTTAACGGTTAAACATACAAAACCGCGTGCACTAGGAGTAGAAAAATTAAAATAAACCAAGAAATGTCTGAAATATTTTGTTTCTTCACATATTTCAATGAGTAGTTTAACATGGCTGCACGAATTATGTAGGTAAAAAGGGTTATTTTGGTTTAAATAATAAAATTTGTTCATTATCAGAAACTCACAAAGCCTCTAAAAATATGATAGTTTTTTAAATTTGCTTGAAACAATCAACAGTAGTAGAACCGACAGGTGCTTATATATAGGTAAAAATGTCAATACCTTATTTTCTTTTTCTCCGCAATAAGATATTTGAAATTTCTTTTTAGGTGTATAATCCCTCTATAATATTGTTAGTTTTTATGGAATATATTTAATTTGAAGCACTGTGTCATTTATAATTTAAGGTTTCACAAGTTTGATTTTGTTTTTTCCTCTTTTGTGTCCATATTTTGGTTGACTCAGCATATTAAGAAATACCAAAAGAAAATACTGTAGTTTGTTAGTTACTAAAGTGAAAAGAAGTGCCTTTTCATTTGTGAGCTTTGAGAAAAATGGGCATAAAGTTAAAATTTAGCAATTTTTCAGAAAAGCAGTGTTGTGTAATATTTTCATTTCTCTTTCGGTCAAACGCGGTTGGCTATCACAGACTAGTTCATCGTATATTTCTGACACTGACATAAACCTGAACATAATTTCCAGTAATTCGATTTTTTTCTGAAAATGGAATTATTGTTTGCTGCCCAAATGTTGTTGTTTTTTAGTTCTTTTGATCGTTGCTTTTTTAGTATTTTTTGAGCTTTTTTTTATGTTTGCTCAATTATCTTTGTTTTATTCACTACTATACATAATTTAGTATTAATTTATAGTTTTGGCTTTTTCGTCCAATTTAATTTGGTAAGATCTTACATTTAGTATTTAATAGTAAGTTTTAATATATATTTTTGAGCTCAGTGTTTTCTATGGAATTTTATTTTTTGTTTAAACACGACATACGTTTGTTGAAAATGCATTGATCTAAGATTTTTCAAAACGCAAAAATCCAAAACATATATACATAACATAAATGTTGGACGGTCTAGAGAAAGTAAACTAAATACACATAAGAGTTTTTTTTTTTTTTTTAGGAAAAATAAGAAACTATTTTTTCGATTTTAAGTTTCGCCGTTAGGTGTAACTAATAATTATCAAAACAATATTTAATACGCAATTGCAGTAATATTTGCTTCATATTGCGGTTTTAATTATCGAGAAAAATTTAAACAAAATATTTATTTTAGCGATTTTTTGACATTTTTAATTTTTATTTAGGAAAAAAGACTATTTGACGGCTTTGCCGTTTTTTTGGTTCGCCTGTCCTCGTTATAATACTCCTTTTGCTCCAGGAAATTTAAATAATGTCTTTATATAAGACTGTGCTCGATCATATGTAAAAAAAAATAAACCTGGAGTAATCGCCATTTCGGCGCTTTGGTATGCTAAACCTGCACGACTGATCCGCCGTGCGGGTTTTAATCTATTCAAGCGCCTGGCTGTGAGGAAACGTCAACTTTTTTCTAGTTCTACGATTTGCCGGATGCTTTTTCGTATTTTGCATATTTGGTGGTGTTATTTTAGAAGAAAGAAATAGAAAGGAAGAGATTTATAAATTATTTTTGTTTTTAAAAAATCAATGGCCGAGGAGATCTAAATGATCCATATAAGGCTTTAGTAGTTATAATTGACCATATTAATAATTCTGTTTAATTATATTGTAAATGTAAGGTTTTGGTATGAGAAAGCAAATGGCACGAACGGGATACGAACCGGAACCCGAAGCTAAAGGACTTAGGTTAATCTCGCTCGTGACACTTCCTTTTTATCTCAACCAAGACCTTAGATTAAAAGTATAATTAATTCAAATGAAGAATAATGTTTTAAGAATTCTTAAATAAACCAGTATAAACATCGTTTTGTTTACAATAGTAGTGTTTTAACCAAAGCAAAGAGATATTGTACAGCTTACAAAAAGTTGTAATGTCTAAATCTTGGACGCTATTTATAATTCTGTTTATAACTTTTGTTCCAGAAACACCCACATGTGATCTTCGAGGCGAGAACGAAGGCGAACAAGGGTTGTGCCAATTCGGGTAATTCTGGCCGCAACATGGACTGGTACCGGACGAGGTCACCCCATTCCGGCCTGACAGACCATCCCTCCAGCCGGATAAGAAGGGATGTGTCTGAAGCCACCAAATACATCGAAACCGCCCTTGTCATAGACAAGGCGATGGTGAGTCGTATGATTATTTAAAAGGGCGATCAATTTTGAACTACACGTCGGTTCGGCGTATGGGCGAATGGGGCGGATTGTAATAATAATAGGCCTTCGCTCCGTTCTGGATTATGATGAAGAGGCCGCTGTAATGTGGCGTCCGGGGAATTATTAAGGATTAGGTGCTCGAGACCGGCAAGTGTTCAATTAATACTTGATTCAAACTTGGATTATAATTTCGTGCTAGACCCCTTCCAGTTTCTAGAAGTTTCGCAGCTTGGCGATGGTGGGAAGCTCTAAAGTACACACAGAAAATCTCTATAAAAGATGGTGTGACTTAGCAATTATCATTAAATCAACTAATTATATTTTAAATGGATTATAGGTAAATTTTAATTTATACAGATGATTCAAGAGTATCAGATAAATAAATGATTGGCTTGAAATATGAAAAAATAAAACATCGTTTAATAAAAGTTTACGCAAATGCATCAACTCGAGATTGAATCTGATTTCTTGGATAAACTTTTTATTTTTGATTTTAAATCAACAGATTATATCAATCGTTTAGTGACTAATTACTAATTTAGCTAGTAGTTTGATGTTTCTACATAATTGAAAAGTGACATTCCCTTACACCGTATAAAGAGCGAGTAGGAATAGCACCCGATGTGGGAATTGTGCTTATGCAAGACGATATCTTTTCATTGTTAAAGAGAACAACTAGATTAAAATAGAGAAAAGACGAGAAAGGATGTTTGTTTACAAAATGCGTAATCGTCATGTTAACAACAATAATACGAACGCATCTAACAACACCTGTTGATTTAATTAAAATTACAAATATCCATATTCATTTTTGAGCAGTTTATATTAGTTATATTTGGGTTTCTTTTTAGAGTTGTGGATAAAACTGGGCTTTTTTATTGTGAATAGTATATGGTAAATATCTCCTTCGAGAGTTTCCTTTTGTGTACATAAAATGTGAATGTATTTATTAGTGTGAATGAGTAGTGAGAGACCACGCTCTGAGAAACGTCATTCTCACAATAATGTATATGGTAATGCTATATACAGGATGTCCCAGTTCCTTCTGACGAAACTCAGGGAACCGATTCTACTCTTCGTTTGGAGCAAAAAATGCTCAGGAGAAAATTTTCGGAAAGTTCTCTATTTTGAAGATATTCGTTAATGTAGGTTTTTTCAACTTTTCACTACCTTACCACATAATAACGCTTACAACTTCCAAAATATTGAAACTACAACAAATCCAATTACACCAATTGTAATAACGCTAAATTTGCAGTAAGATACTTCTATTTGCAATAATCTGAATGACATAAAATGTTAGCCAATATCAGTTGGAACATGCCAAAATTACAAAATTTAAAATTTTGGTCATGATTGCACGTTCTACTGAGGTTACAAAAAAATACCTACAACTTGTCAAATTTCACAAAAACTTCTTCATCTAATATGCTTTATGTTGATATATCCAGGTTTTTAAATAACGTTCTAGTAGAGTTGAAAAATCAACGTACATGAAGACGTTTTTTTGAAATTTGACAAGTTGTAGGTATTTTTTTGTAACCTCAGTAGAATCATGACCAACATTTTAAATTTTGTAATTTGACATGTTCCAACTGATTGGCTAACATTTTATGTCATTCAGATTATTGCAAATAGACGTATCTTACAGCAAATTTAGGGTTCTTTCAAATGGTATAATTGGATTTGTTGTAGTCTCAACATTTTGGAAGTTGTAAGCGTTTTTATGTGGTAAGGCAGTGAAAAGTTGAAAAAACCTAAATTGACGAATATCTTCAAAATAGAGAACTTTACGAAAAAATTTTCCTGAGCATTTTTTGCTCCAAACGAAGAGTAGAATCGATTCCCTGAGTTTCGTCAGAAGGAACTGGGACACCCTGTATATCATATTGCGAACTTCTGGTTAAAGACGATATCTTTTCATGGTTAAAGAGAACAACTAGATTAAAATAGAGAAAAGACGAGACAAGGTGTTTACAAAATGAGTAATCTTCATGTTAACTACAATAAAATGAACATATGTAACGAAAATATATCTGTTAATTTAATTAAAATTAATATAGTAAAAATAAATTACAAATATTCCTATTCATTTTTGAGCAGTTTGCATTAGTTATATAGCTACGTAAAGAGTGACGAGGAATAACGAGTATTCCATCACTCTTCTTGAATGAATATGTATGTAAATTAATATTAAAAAAAAGATTATTGAGAGAGTGAATGTGTTTAGATTACACTGCGTGCTAAAATTACATGCTAAAGTGCTGCTTGGAGGGTTAAAATGACCTAGCTGTTGACAACCCCTAGATCCCGCCAAGGTCTGACCTCGGACTGTCCAAACACTAAGTAGGTGATTCTCGCGGCTTGTCTTTTATGTTATATGTATAAATCACGATTTAGTTTATATCAGCCTTCAATATAAATGTGGATATATCAATTATTATTATAATTATGTAAATCAACATTAGAAAATCAATATAACCTGTTTATTATAACTTCATCTCAAAAATGGAACAACCTTTTAAATCAAAAAACGTTTGAAGACAACCTTCTCGATATTAGCTGAATATCATAACTAAAAAAGCTCTTTTACTTGTAATCATTTATAAATAATCAATAATCATGTGTTTTCACAATCATTTTTCTGAGAGGAAGGACGAATTAACCTAAAGTTTTTCACTTGAAATAAAATGACATAGTTCTTTCCGTAGTCTGTAATTAATTCTGAATTGTTCTTTTCTTGCATTGAAGGTGATTTTTTCTCAAAACGTTTGTTGTAATTTTAGCCAATTTTGACTGTTACAAACCATCTTTTTCTCAAGTTAGGAAAATTACACATTTTACAAAATAATTACTTATATTGTTATCTACTTATCACTACTATTTGTATTAGGCTCCTAATTAAAATGAACGTATTAATTCTATCTGCTCCGGTGTAATTCAATGGAAAACGAATTTTCCAGAAAAAAAGAAAGCCTCGGGGTCCGACTAAATTAAAATTTGATATTTCAAACCCAGCAAAACAAGCAGTTTCATTAGGTGTAATATTACTTTGCGAGAGATGATACACAAAAAATGGGTTTATGTCGCCTGAGGCATTATAAAAATTGCTGTCACAAGTTTATGTTTGACAAATTGACTCGGTTGATATTGTTCATAAGGGTTCTTACTCAAAACTCATTTTAATAGTAGATGAAAAAAAGCGAATATTTTGCTTTATATAAAAATGTGGCTTAAATGGTGAGATTCAATGTCAGGCGTTGATCAAGATAAATTGTGGATGGATTTTAACTACTGTCCTTTATTTGGCTTTTTCAATAATACATTTTGAATTAGTTTACATCTGGAGATAAAGCCGAAATTTTAAATTCGTGGTAAAGGAATACATTTTAGAATCCCAATATCTAATGGATTTTAACATTCCTGTTCATATTGATGGGTTGAAGTTTGCATAAAAATTTATGTCCTTATTCTAGAGATTATAAACAAACAGCATCGTTATACAGTTGTATGAAAGTTGTCGTAGACGCTAGAAAAATAATAAAAGTGTTAGTACGAAGACATTTGTAAGTTCGAAAGATAACCAATTGACGTCTATAAAGGAAAAGCTATATTCGGAAAGTCGTAAAAATCGGTCATTTCGTTTTAATGGAAGCTCGCTGATTCACGAGCTTTCAAACTGGCGGTCTAGAGATTAGTGACTCCTGCATGGCAGTGAACGGTCTGAAATTGATATTGTGCCCAGCGGAGTAATTCATCTCACTTTTTCTGCTATTTATCATACGAGACGGATCAATATTTGCAGAGTACTAAATACTTTTTAAACGGTTTAATGTTTCCGGATCTTACAGAAGGAAAATCCCTTATACTAACTTCATCATGACAAATGATTAGAGCAAAAATCCTTAATAAATCTACGAAAAACATTTTAATATGAACTAAATATAGTTAATTTGTACGAAGGCCTCTGCATTGAGCGGACGCAATTTATTCATACAAATTTCTTATTCGTTCAGTGAAAATATCCTCGCTGATTTTATAGTCAGGAGATTCCGTGAGCCTTTGAATAACATTTGCAAGAAATCTACAATTTAATGAGGAAAGTTAAATATTAATGTTCTCAAGATCCTTCGTTAATTCTTTTGTATTAGAAAACGTATGTAGATCGAAGGCGAATCTTTTGTAACTTTTTTTTTTCAAAATAAAGAACAAGTAATTAAGATTTTTAGTTGAGATAAAAAAGTCAGTGTCACGAGCGGGATTCGAACCCACGATCTTCGGCTAGATACGCCGCTGCTCTACCACTTGAACTATCGTGACCACGATCCACTCGGACACTAACTTCCCATCTCAACCCCACCATTTGAATTTTCCGTACTTTTTGCCATTTTTCAAATGTCGTGTAATCTATTTGATTTTCGGCGACAAATGAAATGGCCACGGAGAGCTTTAGTGAACCTTATGCGTATACCTATACATCATTTAAACTTATTAAATTCACTAATTTTCGTGGTCCGCTTGACCAATTAATATCTTTCAATTAATTGGTTTTTAGTTGAGATAAAAAAGTCAGTGTCACGAGCGGGATTCGAACCCATTTCGATATTTCAAAAATGGCAAAAAGGAGGGAAAACTCAAAAGGTGGGGTTGAGATAGGAAGTTGATGTCCGAGTGGATCGAGGTCACGATAGCTCAAGTGGTAGAGCAACAGCATATCTAGCCGAAGATCTTGGGTTCGAATCCCGCTCGTGACACTGACTTTTTTATCTCAACTAAAAACCTTAATTGATTAAAAGATATTAATTGGTCAAGCGGACCACGAAAATTAGTGTATTTAATAAAGAACAAGTTGAAATAATAGATATGAATAAATAACTAGTGAACTTTTTCAGCCAGTTTTTTATTGATGCCGATGCATTTCGGGGGAAAATGACTCCTCTTTTTAGGGCTACATAAAGAAAGGAGCCAGA